GAAGACGGACATGTTCGGATTGTGAAAGGCGACATTTCTGTATGAGCAGAACTTTAATATTTTGATGAACAGACTTGTAAATATTTAAAATTGTCATGATTTTTTGTATATATTGACTGCTTATTATGCGTAAAGTTTTATTGATTTGTTTGTGTTTATAATTGTGCTTAATTGCGTATAATTAACTGGCTGCACTTTGAATTATATTATTAAGTCGTATGTTTGATATTTGAATTTAAATTATGTCTTAATTGTCTGTTTTACATGTATTATAATAGGGGTAATCATTTCGTATTTTATATTGTTGTACATTAATTTTGATCGGAGTCAAAAGCTTAAGTAGGGGGGAGTTGTAACGGTATCTTATAGTATCATTCTGTTTTATTGTTACGCAATGTTTGTTTACATGTCATTGCTCCGCGCGAGCAATGTCGTTACATAACTGACCCCGTTAAAAAAGATTGCTCCTCATGAGCAATGCACATTATGTATATATATAGGTCGAGTAAAAGCTTAGGCGCGGTCAGTCTCATTAATTCTATTACGGGATATACATGTAGGAAAAGTGCAGTCCGTCCAGTGTTTTATTATGTGTGAAACTTGGATATATTTGTGATGTAAATAAACTGTAAATAATTTTATTTTGCGTTTCATTTAACCTAAAGCGTATGCTTTAGAGGTTGGAGAATTAAAGTCACATGGATTATTAATAAAACTGGAGTTATCTCGCACTTGGATTATTTAAATAGAGCCGTTTACCGCTCGACGGCGTTACAAAAAGTAGAACTGTTTGTTTATACTTGTATGTGACGCGATCTTTGCTTTAGACTATACCTATCCTGGCGGCCTGTGTACTAGTGAAACTCAGTGTAGACTGGTATTGCCTGTCTTTACCGTACGCAGGAAATATCAGATATCAGACAGGCAGGCCAGTCTAAACTCAGTGTAGCTCTAAAAATAGAATTCCCAAGGTAATGGAAACAATTCCACCGAAATATGGTGCTTGGTGAATCCTCATTATTTACGTCATGGGCAGACAATCCCAATACCCGGAGGCTGTCATACAGCCTCCGTCTAAAAAGCATCCCTAAGATTATGTAGCAGACACTGCTGACGTTAGTAGTAAATTGACGTCATATCGACCTCCGTAGTTACAGCCCAAGCGTTGAGGACCACCTGAGTGATTAGTTGCCAAAGTCAATATCAAAACAACATCCTGCCAAATGGTACTAACTTTTCTATCAATTTTCCGTATTTATAAGTAGCAAAATACCATTCACATAGGGATTTATGCCTCCAAACTGATTCGATAAGCAAGAACAATTTTTGAAATAAGGAACGCTACTGATGAACAAGCCCATGAAACAAGAATGTCAGCAGTCTTGTTTTTAAAAGTCGACATTTTGAAACTTTAAAGTCCTAGAATATTTTGCAGTATAAAGTAATTTGCAGTATAATCGACTAACATATCTACTGTTGGCTGTCAATTTTTATGCAAATGTCAAGGGACATGTTGATAAGGTGTCCGCTCAACAGGAGATCTCCATATACTATTTCATGGCGTCCCATCCAACTTCTGACACACAAGACGATCACGTTTGCTTTGCTCCTTATTGTCAGTTATCTTCAACTTTTTAAGGTTATTATTGTTTTAGCTTTGTTAAAGTGCTGTTTGGAGATCTCATAATGCCTGCCTGTTCGTTGCTGATTTTTATCTGAAGATATGATGTCCCGCAAACTTGACTGCACTTCACATTTCTTAAATCAGTTTTTTCTATTATCAAATGTGTCAAGTATGAACAAGGAATTATTTAAGAAATAAACAACAATGTAAAAAAGTTCACTGGGAAATGAACTTGTAGTTGGTCACGTGATCATATCCTGTGAAGCCCGAAGTGCTTCTCAGTAGATTTGATCACGTACCAACTACAAGTTCATTTTCCAGTGAACTTTTATATTATTATTTGTATTGAAGTTGACTCTTTGCCAGAACAAACATAATGATAATAACAATAAAAGACTTCATATGAATAAAAAAATATAGGTCTGCTATAAAAAGGGCGCAAATGGTTCCTGAAGGAATTCCAATAGATTGTTGGAAAACCTTATCTCCAAAAACCATATAGATATTATCTATCAGAAACTCAAGCATCTTTTTAATGTCAACTTCAGAGTACTAATGTGTTCCATCAGAATGTTTTTGACAAAATAATGTTGCAAATGACCGATAAAAAAGTTAATTAAAGGGAATTTTAGTCTCGTTTTCTTTCACCTCTTTCGGAAATTATTTGCAATTTTGAAGGATCGCCTGCATGGCGCAGTGGTAAGAGCGTCTGCTCTAGAATGGCGAGGTTAGGTGTTGATACTTAAATCGCCAATTCCACTGTGGGAGGAAGGCACCTTCTAGGTGAGACCTATATACCAGGACCCGTGTCGCAGTAGGTGCTGGTATGAAAAAGACATCTCACTGCTCAACGGCCGTCACTGCCGATTATAGGACAAAATTTGCAGGTCTCCATCAGCAAGTGATGGAATCTACATGAGTGAAAATTTTCTAGAGGGACATTAAACAGCATACAATCAATCAATGTAAGGGCAAAAATAATCATGTATTTAGGAATTATTGAAAGGAAATTTAAATAGACCTATATATGGGATCATAATCGATATTTAATTGTTAAAATAAATCTGTGGAGATGAAAATGAAAAGTTCCCATTTATCATATGTGACCTTTTTTTTATTTACCATTTATAGATGTTATAAGATCGTCTTTATCGTCTGACATTTTTTCTGCTCTCCTTTAAACCAAATCTGAAAAAAGAATTTTTAAGAAGTGCAAATTTTAAATTCTTCGAGACAGTTTAATAATGCTTTTTGATATAGAGAATTGCTTTTAAAAAAGATTTAGCTAGATGAATGAAGTCCATGATTTTCGAAGACAAATATTTTGAAAGATGACAGTTTTGATATGATGTAGATCATGTAGAAATAGCTATATAGAAATCTTGACTAATAAAAAGTTGTGAAATGCTACAAACCTGGTTCAGTGTGCAATCTTTTTCCCTTTTAAGTCTGCAAATACTAGCACCGCATATAAAATTACAGGTGGCTTGTAACTAATATCAGATAAATACGTATTCTCACTGATAACGTTTATGACAGATCAATCCAAGGTAGGGATATTTGTAATGTCTTATTTAGAAAAAACTAATGGAGGTAAAGTTTGTATTTACAGGAGATATGGACACAAGTATTTACATCAAGAGAACGTTTTCGTAGAAAATCACGTGCTGGGACTGAAATCCACTGAGCTGGGGTCACCTAGATTTTAAAAGCAAGCGTCCCAAATACATTTGATTTTTTATGATTTACTTGATCTGCATGCATCATGTGTTTTCATAAGAGTCACCCGCGTGGCGCAGTGGTTAGAGCGTCTGATCTAGAGTAGCTAAGTAGGGAATCAATCCTTACGTTGCGGGTTCGAATCCCACTGTGGGACATGGAGACGACCGGTCCTTCGAATGAGACCGTTCAAACTAGGTCCCGTGTAGCAGTAGTTGCTGACACAAAAAAGATCCCTCCCTGCTCAATGGCCCAACTGAGTGCCGAGTTTTGGACAAAATTTGCAGTTCTCTACCGGCAAGTGGTGGCGTCTCCATATGAGTGAAAAATTCTCGAGAGGGACGTTAAACAATATACAATCAATCATGCATCATATGAAGATAAACGAAAGAAGGCGGGAATATTTACTTAATTTATGACCATAATGCATTGAATATTTATATAGATTGATGCCCTAAAAAAACATAATAATCCAAAGAAAAATAGGAAAATTACAAAAAAAAAAAAATTGAGAGTAGTAATGCATACAATACAAAAAGACATAACGATACATTATATCAATGATAAAGCTTATAATTTGTTTTTAGTTAGTTTATTTTTATTATTTTGTTGTTGTTGTTTTGTTTTTTTTTTGTTTTTTTCGTTTTTTGTTTTGTTTTGTTTTTTTTTTTTTTTTTTTTTTGTTTTTTTTGTTTTGTTTTAAAAGTTAAGATAATTCGAAGAATAAATATTACTCAACGAGAATAGCTTGCTCCTAAATGGGACCTGATCCCACATTTGATGTGTCAGAGGTCAATCTTTGTTCATCTAAAAAATGGTCCATCCCCAGAGAAGAATTTTGTTTACCTAGAATATTTTAAACTTAAAACGCATTCATTTTCTTCCTTCAAATGTAAATCGTTTCATTTGGTAAAATCAACGATATAAAAAGAACATAAATCTTCATAAAGTGAAATTTTGCCAAGTTTGTAGATAAATTTACATCTAATCGATGATGACTTATCATTTTAATTTGCATGAAATATACGTCATTTCACATAGCTCAATCTGTTTATTCATTATTTATTTATTAAACTGAAATATACGTCCATGGCACCAAATACCACCTTTGGTTTTTTTGGAGGTCCATGTTTGCCCTGCTCCAATGGACTTTTAAGCTAGAATACAGTTCGTTATCTCCCTATATTTCATGGTAACAAACAGTATTACCTCACAAAAGGTCATTACAAAATAAAATTAGGAGCGGAGCAAACACAGGTCTCTAGAACATCTGATGTGTGGGATCGGGCACCATGGAAAAGTGAGCATCCCCTGTTGACTGCTTACATCTGCAGTGTGCTCTTTGTCACAGCCTATCACAATTGACAATAGCTTGAAAACGACCACTCAGCAATTGACTTAAAGGTGCATGAACACAGATTTGAAGTTAATATTTTCTCTATAACATCACGACTTATATATTTTAATAGCATTTCACACGAAAATATATTAAAACTATTATTTTATCTTAAAGTTATTGAAACTTTAAATTTCTGGATGGTTTTGATTGAAATACACCTTTAATGATAGATTCTCTGTATGGTATTGTATTCACTGTTTAGATAAATGGTTCATGCTTAAAATTTAAAAAGAAAAACTGTACAAACTTTATTTTTTTTTTTTTACAAAAAAGAAAACAAACAAAAAATTGTCCAATCTTCTTTACGAATATCCTTCTGAATAAACGAATTACTTTAACGTCTTAATTTTCGGGCTCTACATTTCCTTTTTTGTGGTTGAGGTCCATACCTAATATGTCTACACAACAGAGGGAGGTCACTGCAGATTATTATTGACAAAACAGAAGTAATCAATCCCACTCCTAATGCCATCCCGACTCCCTGTGCTGACCTCCTTTCATCTGCGGCTGATGTTTTCTGTCGAATTGTTGATGAAAGTTCCATTTTTTTCACTTCCAGCAGTTTCTTTCGTTTTACAATGACTTTGCTGAGAATTTCATTGTCTTTGATGTAGTTTTGAGATTTTGTCATCTTGCAGGGGCACTGGCACTCTATTATAAATTTAATATTCTTAATGCATTTCATGAAATAAAGCCTTCCCTGTTGTTTATAACAGGAATCGGAAAACATCCATTCTTGCAGCAATGATATTGTTGCAAACAAAAAAAGATTTTATTATAAGACTCTTTAATTTGATTTAAAAAACATGAAATAGAAAATGACAAAATGGATGATTTTGCTTACTTCTACAAAAGGGTTGAGAACCTGTCAATGCACTGTCATTCAGACATTGTCGTGTCAGGTCGCCTCTCACCAGTCGATGGTTGGTCTTACACTTATAGGTAACGTTCTGATTCACAAAGACATGTGGAGTTCTTTGAATAACCAGAGTTGTGTTGTCATTGAATGTAGCATTCGGACAAAATCCTTCAACAAAATTGGGATATTAAATAAACCACCTAGCTTGACATTTTTCTAATCTAAACGACAAAAACATACCTACTGTTACTTACAGACAAATGAATGACAGAAATCCGTATTTATTTTACAACAGTTTTAATCAGTAATTTAAATTGAGCAGTGTTAGTTTAGTCATTTAGTAGGTTTTTTGATTTGAATTGAGTGTGGAGAAGATTTCCGAAATTTTCATTGAGAATGTTATAAATGAAGATTAATGGGTGTAAAAAAAAAAGCCAAATGATAACAAAATTTCTGACATATTCAAACTAGTCTATAAAAATTAGATCTATTTTTATGCCCCGTAAACGAATTTTAGGGAGTATATAGTTTTTGTCGTGTCCGTCCGTCTGTCTGTTTGTCTGTTTTCCGCAAAAACATTAACCTTGCCTATAACTTTTGATATAATGGTGCTACGACATTCATATTTCACATGTGTATTCCTTGTGAAAAGACCTTTCTTTAGGTACCATCAAATTTGACCTTTTGACCTTGGCCTTGGAGTTTGTTCACTTTAACACAAAAAATTGAACTTTTACTTTGGCCATATCTTCTGAACAATAGATACCAGTATAGGACATTTTTACTTAACATATGTATATTTTGTGGTTAGACCTTTTATTGCATACCAACAACTTTAACCTTTTGATCTTGACCTTGGAGATACGCGTACCTATGAAAAAACTTTAACCTTAGCTATAACTTTAGAATATTGAGAACTAGGGTTATCATACTTCACATCTGTAATTCTTGTAAGAAGACTAGGGATGTCAAAATATTTATTTTCCTAAGTCGAACATTCGATTGCATTATTCGAACGATAGTCGACTATTCGGAACATTTAATTTTTTAATTTCATCGATAGCGTATTTATAAATAAGAAACCCTTTTCGTATATTTGTGTAAAATTTAACATTAAATGCCTACACAGCATATTACACACCGATATTCCGAGGAACCTAAAGAAGGAATAAGATGTTGAAATGAAGTCAATAGATTACACCAGCAATTCATTTTCCAAAATGTATGAATTTTCGAAAATCACGTTTTCATAAATTGGTCTGTACATGTACATTCTTTTGTTCTAGTACGCTTAGAGAAAAGTATGGTGGGGGTAAATACCTAAATAGCACAGTTCCTTAATTGTTTATACACTAAGCAGCTGTATTAATTTGATTATCGATTAGCCCGGCTATCAATATGCCCTTACTATGTATTCTACCACGATTATTCAAAACTTCAAAGGGAACCGCCGGACATTATTCTCCAATAAATCACGAACGTCATCAAAAAATTATCAGATCAGAAACACGTATCAAATCTGAATAATTCAAATGCATGTTTGGCTGTAGAATGAAATACATGTTTAGACCGCATCGATGTGTCGTCTTTTGCATTATAAACACTGTAAATTGCATCAAGTTGCTGAAGAATGTCGGTTTTTATAGCTAAGCGGGGCTATTCCGCGGACCTCCCTACACATTAAACAACATGATTTTAGCAGTAAAACAGGAACATGATTTTGTTATTGTATATTCATTTTAACTTATCAATACATATTATGAACATATTTGTAATTTGTAAAAAGGCTATTTTTAATGTGACGAAAGCTCAAATCGTCTGCATTCTATACACAGGTAAGCAAACAATTTTGCCTCTGGTGTTAAATGAAACAGCGTAATCGAGACATGGTGACCTAATTCGTTTCTCTATAGAGGAAACGACTATCCTTAATTTAGCGTTTGTACCATACGTGGAAGAATAGAAATAAAGTCCTTGTTGTCGTGAATACTGCAGAATAACCTCCTCGGTCTCGAAATGTTGTTTGAAATATAAAAGCCTCGGCTAGCGCCTCGGCTTTTATCTTTCAAACAACATTTCTCGACCTCGGAGGTTATTCTGCAACATTCACGAAAACGCGGACTTTATTTCTTAAGCATCATTGATTTTTTAAATTATCAAAGTCTCAAAACTTCACCGCGCTGATGTGTTCCTACAGCATTTGAACATTCTTAGAGGTAATAAATAAATTTATAATTGGTACAAGTCCAATGAATAATTTTCAAATTCTAATGCAATTGTTTTGTAAAACACTCTTTGATTGGCTAATGCACTGATGTTTGAAACAGTAAAACGAGCATTTACGAGCGAGAAAGCTTTTTCATTGTGACGTCATAATAGAGCGACGCAAAAATACAATGCTCTGTGACGAATTTCATGTAACAAAATTCAACAATATAAGACGTAAACAACAAACAAAATACATGGATTGCATTAGAATGGGAATAACTAAACTTCTAATTTTGTATTTGCGACCGTTAATGCTGATTTAACGGTAGCAAACATCCGTTTTACCGGCTCCGCTTACGCGTCGCCGGTAAAACTCAGTCTGTGACCATTAAATCAGCTTTAACGGTCGCAAATACCAAATTAGAAGATAGTTTTTCCCTAAGTCCAATTTAGCGCTGCATAATTTACTACAATAACAAAAAAGGTCAGTAATTGAAAAATAATTATCGCGGTTTGTAATTACTGTTCAATGTACTCACTGTCCATATGTACAGTGTGGAAATTTATTTATATACTGTGATTGTGCTTAAGCTCTTATTCGTCTGAGGGCGGATTCTATAATGGTTAGAGGAATGGCGCTTAACAATTTTGAGTTGAGAATTTCTTTATCACGTCCTTTTTTCCACATAATAGACATTAAATACTGTAGATTGGCTAATATTCACGATGGTTTTAATTTCACTATGTTCGCGATTTATCATTTCTACGCGAAATTAAATTAATCGTGAATGCTATTATAAGTTTTTAAAGAAGTTTATATGCTTTTAAAAACTTAAAATTAAGGTGGAATATCCCTCTGATAAGAGAGATAACTCTTTTGATAAGAAAGAATAACTTTCTTAAGACATTTTGTCATGAAATTCAGTGAATTGTCATGTCCGAGTTTACAAGTTTCCTTCATGAGGACCATTTTATAGTCAACTCAATCAAACTTATTCAATGGTACAAATGTTGACTTTTAGTTTCTATTGCTAGTATAATCATTAATTATTTATAATAGTTTACTTAAAACATTTATACTGAGTTCCTTTAAACAGTGTAAATTGAGAAATCTCTATCTCTTAAAGTATAATTCTTTTAATTGTACAGAAATTTCAGATGCAGTCTTGTTGGTAAACATTTAATTAATATTTTATTTCATTAAAAAATATTTTCAAGGGCGATAATGGAACGATAACTCTTGTTTATGGATGCGTGTTATTTTACATGCACAGAAAACAATTTGTAATTCTGATTTAAAAAGCAGCGCTTCAGTATGTTTTCTAATGAGAATTAGATAGGTATGAGAGTAAATATTATTTTTATATATACATCATATTTCTAATTTAATTGTGAGATAAAAAATAACTGATCTTTCGATTTACCATATCAAATTTTCTTCACATCATGATTTGACATATAAAGTAAGCAACGCTTCATACTTCAAACTATTTTCCATTTGAATTTAATGCTATAGTTGTTGCTGAAAATCAATGTCTGGATTTTAAAAAAAAAGTCGTGAAATTTGGAGCAGAGGGATATTGCCCCTTAATTTCTTGCTGCGTGAAATTAAAACCCTCGCGACTGGCACATTATGAGAAATCGCGAAATTTTAACACCGTGGAATAAAAACAATTTACAGTATTCGAATTAGGGAATAACTATCTTCTGATTTGGTATTTGCGAACGTTAATGCTAATTTAACGGTCGCAGACTGGGTTTTACCGGCGACGCGTAAGCGTAAGTTATTCCCATTCTAATGCAATCCATGTATTTTGTTCGTTGTTTACGTCTTATTTTGTTGAATTTTGTTACATGAAATACGTCACGGAGCATTGTATTTTTGCGTGGCTTTATTATGACGTCACAATGAAAAAGCTTTCACGCTCGCTTATGCTCGTTTACTGCTTCAAACATCAGTGCATTAGCCAATCAATTTTTTTTTACAAAACAATTGCATTAGAATGTCGTTTTATTATTCGATAGTCGGTCCATTCCACTGGTAGTTAAAAAGTCGACTTTTCGTTTACATCCCTAGAACGGACGTTTCATTAGATACCAAGAACATTGACGCTTTGACCTTGGAGTTAGACCTATTTAAAAATTCAACATTGATCATAATTTTTGAAGGGTAAGGACTAGGGCATTCATACTTCACAAATTTAATTCGTGTGACAATACCTTTCATTTTATATCAACAACCTTGACTCTTTGACCTTGGCCTTGGAGTTTGACCTACTTTTTACAAAATATCACCTTGACCATCACTTTTGAACATTAAGGGCAAGAGCTTTTATATTTCACACGTGTAATCCTTGTGACAAGGCCTTTCATTGGGTACCACCAAATTTGACCTTTTGACCTTGACCTAAAAGTTTGACCTACTTCTTACAAAATTTAACCTTGGTCATAACTTTAAACGGTAAGGGGCTGCGCTTCCATAATTCCCATGCGTAATCTTTGAGACAAGGCCTTTCTTTAGATACCAACAACCTTGACCCTTTGACCCTGACCTGAATTTGTCGTATCTTATGAAAAGTTAACCTTGGTCATACCCCTGGAACAGGTGTAGCTAGCGTTTTATATTTCGCATTTCTTATGAAAAAGCCTTACTTTTGGTACCAACATATTAGATCTGCATTTGAGAAAGCTTAACATTCGCTATGCTACCATACGGGGGCATCAGTGTTTCAAAAACACATCTTGTTCTTATCTGAATTACACATGAAAATGAAGCCTTGCGGCGTTGTTAGAATGGATTTAATGTATCAGAAATATGGTAAAATATCAAATAAAAACGATTGAGAGGCAAAATTAAAACCAACTATCTTTCTTTGTTCAATCATTCAGAAGTGAAAGAAGAATAGATAGTTACACGGTCAGTTAGTAGTGGAAACAACATTGCCTTTGTAATGCTAATTGTTTAAAACTTATTTTAGATGAACTGGCCTTTAATTCAACATCTGGTACTCCTACTTAAAGCTCTCTATCTAAGTAGAAATTCTTCGAAATCATGTCAATTTTTTCAGTTTTAATGATCATATTTTGTACAAACAAGTATTTTGAAGTTGATATAAAAAAAAATTCTTGAATTTCCGACTAACAATATCTGTGTAATTTCTGAAGACCAGGTCTTCAGAGAATGTAATGAAAGTCCCCTCGGTATAAATAGCGTCCCGTTTTTTAGAGACCTGTTCATTTGCTGTGGCCTTCAACTCGACATTAAGATATATCGACGAATAAAATTTGGTGCAATATAAACCTTTCCTGTGCAAGGGTGTAGTTTCTGATATAGAAATTTCACAAATATGCCATGTTTTTTTTATTGTAATTGTTTTCGAAAATATTTCGCTGTTCATCATCTTGTAGTTATAATATTGTTTCAAACAAAAAAAAGCTTTTTGTAAAATAAAACACCTTAATGTGATTAAAACAAAAAAAACATGATATAGAAATTCGCAATATTAATTATTTTGCTTACTTTTACATATGGGTTGAGAACCTGTCCATGTACTGTCATTCAAACATTGTCGTGTCAGGTCGCCGTTCACCAGTCGATGGTTGGTCTTACATTTATAGGTGACGTTCTGATTCACAAAGACGTGTGGGGTTCTTTGAATAACCAGAGTTGTGTTGTCATTGAATGTAGCATTCGGACAAAATCCTTCAACAAAATTGGGATATTAAATAAACCACCTAGCTTGACATTTTTCTAATCTAAACGACAAAAATGTACCTACTGTTACTCACAGACAAATGACTAATACAAATTATGTATCTCTATTAAGACAGCTTTGGTCAGTAATTTAATTTGAGCAGTGTAACCTTAGTGATTTTAGTAAGTTTTTTGATTTGAATTGAGTGTGGAGAAGATTTCTGAAATTTTCAATTGAGAATGTTTATAAAAATAGACTAATGGGTGTAAAGAATGTCAAAGGATAATAAAATTTTCTGAAATATACAAACTACTGCTATAAAAAATAGATTTATTTTTCTAACCTGAATCACACATAAAAATGAAGCCTTGCGGCGTTGTTAGAATGGATTAAATGCATCAGATATATGTTAAAATATCACATTAAAACGAGTAAGAGGCAAAATGAAAACCAATTATCTTTCTTTGTTCAATCATTTAGAAGCGAAAAAGGAATAGATAGATTACACGGTCAGTAAGTTCTGGTAACAACATTGTCTTTGTAATGCTAATTGTTTAAAACTTATTTAACATCTGGTACTCCTACTTAAAGCTCCCTTTCTTAGTAGAAATTCTTCGAAATCATGTCAGTTTTTTTCAGTTTCAATGATCATATTTTGTACGAACAAGTATTTTGAAGTTGATATGAAAAACAAATATTTGATTAACAATATCTATGTGATTTTTGAAGACCAGGTCTTCAGAGAATGTATTGAAAGTCCCCTCGGTACCAGTAGCGCCTCGTTTAAGCAGATCTATTATTGTATTCATATGAAGCAGGACTTGTTTAAATGTCTTGTAGTGAAAAGAGGAAAACATTTGCTGTGGCTTTTCAACTCGACTTTTATATATATCAACGAATAAAATTTGGTGCAATATAAACCTTTTCTGTGCAAAGGTGGAGTTTCTGATATAGAAATTTCACAAATATGCCATGTTTTCTTATTGTAATTGTTTTCGAAAATAACAAGCTGTTCTTCATCTTGCAGCAATGATATTGTTTCAAACAAAAAAAGCTTTTTGTAAAATAAAACACCTTAATGTGATTAAAACAAAAAAAAACATGATATAGAAATTCGCAATATTAATTATTTTGCTTACTTTTACATATAGGTTGAGAACCTGTCCATGTACTGTCATTCAAACATTGTCGTGTCAGGTCGCCGTTCACCAGTCGATGGTTGGTCTTACACTTATAGATGACGTTCTGATTCACAAAGACGTGTGGAGTTCTTTGAATAACCAGAGTTGTGTTGTCATTGACTGTAGCATTCGGACAAAATCCTTCAACAAAATTAGGATATTAATAAACCACCTAGCTTGACATTTTCTAATCCAAACGACAAAAATGTACCTACTTTTACTTACAGACAAAGGTAGAATACAAATTTCCTATTTATATTAACACAGCTTTGGTCAGTCATTAAATTTGAGCAGTGTAACTTTAGAGATTTTAGTAGGGTTTTTTTATTTGAATCGAGTATGCGGAAGATTTCCGGAATTTTTAATTGAGAATGTTTATAAAGATAGACTAATGCGTGTAAAGAATGTCAAAGGATAACAATTTTTTTTTTCGAATATTCAAACAAGTGCTGAAAAAAATATAGATTTGATTGTTACTATAGATCTTTAAAAATTAAAAATACTTACTTTTGCAAACATTCTCCTCACCATTCCACGATTCATTGCCTTTGCATTTTCTTGTCAGATTACCACTAACGAGCGTATGGTTATCTTTACATCGGAGCGTGATAATTTCATCCTCTAGGTAGTACTTTTTCGAATTGCCTTCAATTTCTGTTGTCAACGTATTATATGTAGGATTGCTGCAGAACTCTGTTAAGATAAGACAAAAACTATAAATATCACCAATGTACCATTTTTTCAGAATACCATCAGTATCGTGAGAACTATGTATTTTTAGATACACGGGGTTATCAGTAGATATGTCTATCAAATACAAATCAGTGAAAAGTTCAATTTTCTAACAATAATTATTATAAGAATGGTTGTACAATTTAGGAATTCATGCTGATGTCAAATGTCGTTGTTAAAATTCTTGTAACCTCAACTCATTTGATAGTAGTCTACCTCCGTTTTAAAATTAATCCGACTCGAAGCGAGTGTTGAGTATCGAAAAAAATTTGAGAGATAAACAATACATGTATGTGAATGTGAAAAATTATTTTAAAAATCGACATATTCAGAGCAAAAGTTGCATTTGGTATAAAATAATAATATTCTTTGTTCAACCGGTTGATTTCTTCACGTAATTTTCTGATAAAATTTAGTTTGCTCTTTTATAAACCGTTACGGTAGCTAAGTTGGTAGAGTTTTGAGTTTGTTATCCCAAAATCCTGGGTGCAGACATCGGTCACGACTGACCTAAGTGAATGAAAGAGACAGCAAATGTAAATTCCATTAAAATTCAGCTGTTGAATTAAATAGTGATGTAAGTTTCTATAATTTTTCGTATGAGTCCTTAAAAACGAGGCCTCCGTTTATCATAAAGCTTGGTTGTTGGGTAACAATTAACGTCTTTTTCAAGTACAATATCCAAATATGAAACAGATGAAAACAGGAATATATAAGTCTACAAAAAACGGGGCGCAATTTGTACCTATGGGAGTTCCAATAGATTGTTGAAAGACCTGGTCACCAAAAACTACATAGATATTGTCAATTAGAAATTCAATCAACTGTTTGGTGTCCTCTTCAGAGTACTTGTGTGAATATCCAAAATGTTTTTCATCCAAATAAGTTTGCAAAAGACTAATGACAAGGTAAGTAAATTAACGAGTTCCATTTTCATTGAAAAAGCAGCTGTCAATGATATCAAAAAGGTTGGACTTAAATTTATTACAGAGAATGGTAGAGTTTAAAGTTCAAAAGTCGAAAGTTTTTAAGCTGTTGGTTGTGGTAAAATTTTGTGATTTCAAATTGTCCAAAAATAAGTTCCTTAGAGTTTTTAAGTATCCGCATCAGATTTACACCTTTTCTTAAATATATTGTTGCACAGTACTCTCTTTTCTCCTTCACTAGTGTTAATTTCTTAGCAAGGAGTAAAGAAAGAGGCTTGGTTGAAGATTTACTGGAACCCGCAATGTATCTTTGTTTGTAAGGATCCTTATGAAGTTTCTGAATCCAATATATATTATAGCTCAAAATCATTTTGGTTCTTAGGGATATTTAAAATATTCAACACATAATTTTGAAGAATGTCCTTTCTAGAGAGGAAACAATGGGTATAAGTTGGATTACCACTTGTAGAATTAAATCGAGGTTCTTCTAAATTACAATTTATATAATGAGCCCTACAAACAAAGACAATGTTGTTAACTGCTTTGTCAGCAGGGACCAGTACGTACTGATCGTGTTATCTATCTAGTTCTTTTTTCACTTATGGATAATTGAATACAGAAGGAAAGATGGTTTTCATATTGCCTCTTAATCTTTTAATACGCGACTTTATCATGGATCCATTCTGACAAAGTATGAACGTCTTCTTTTTTATATCTGGCCCATTGCCTGGCGTAATCTTCAACGGAATCCACAATATTGATGAAATTTCGACGCCAGTTGAAGGATCGGAGTACCCTATATTTAGAACCTTTTAAAATTAGTGATGTAAGGTCCTCATTAATAACTATATTTACGTCACATGTAATAACGTGTCCGGCGGGACTATAGTAATAGGATGAAAAATAACATGAACACGATGGAGGATTATGTTCAGATACTCGTTATCCAGGTCATGCAATTTGAAAGCTTTTTTTATAATTAAAAATTTTTAAGCAATGAAAATATTGATGATTTGGTGAAAAGTGAAAAATATTGAAAAAAAAGTGAAAAATGATATAGTTAAAAGAACTTAACTTGGAATTGATCCTACTTTATTTCTATCCATTAATTTCTGAAATATAAATTAAACTATATTTACTAGTCCCGACATACTCACCAGAACATTGGAAAAATATAGTATGGTCGATATCTGTAGTATTTGTTGTGCATTTCTTTTTAAAATTACATTTCTCTTGAAGACTTGATCCATTTAGAATAATGATATATTTCGAAAAGCACTGCATAGTGATAGTGTTTCCTTTGCTGGGAAAAGCAATCTCCGTCTTCAAAGCATCTGGACAAAAAAAAAATTGATATAACTAATAAAGAAATTGTAACTGCTAAGACTGTTGTATTCATGAATTTCTGAAAAAATAATTTGAACTAGCAAGCTATTCAATTCAAAAAATAACTTCTGAAAATAAACTTCACGCTAAAGATTCATCAAAAGCGACTTACCAGATGGGTATTCATCCTGCTTCGGGCATGCACATCCTATTACTTGGGAACCGTCACTTTTGTTGTTTACACAACCTATATTCAAATACATTTCAAATATACAAGTGTATTTCATATACTGTAAAATCACATACAAGTATTTTCGTGGGGTCAAATTTTCATGGTTTGAGGAAAAAATCTTGGTTCTTGAGGATTTTGATTTCGTGGATGGAGAATTGTTAGGTAGTTATGTATACATTTTACATTTCGTGGTGTACATGAATTCGTTGGTCTCTTAATACCTCGAAAAACAGCTACAAAATTAACCCCCACGAAAATTTTGGATTTCACAGTATTTAGATCTCACCACAGAAACTGTATAATTTCTATAGAAATAAGGTATAATCTTGAATGTCTATCAAGCTATAAATACAGGTCGGTCATGAGATCCAATTTCATAAATTCAGAAGGGTAACGGGTAAAAATACGAACCCCTGAAAACCTCAGAGCAAGGATTAGATACTTAAGAGGAGAGAGAATCCAATGTCGAAGGGTCACAACTGCCGTAAGCACACTGTACTGTTCATGTGGATGATCGACTCTGTTATAAATTTTAAATTTACAAATCTAGTAATAACCATGTTGTAGACATATCTGTCAAAATTCGATCAATTAATAGGATGCCTCTTATATCAATTTCATTAAAGAGGCCGTAGAGAATACAAAAAGCAGACTCAATGGAGTTGTTTAAGAAATGAAATTAATTTTTGAAGATTCGTGAGGTTATGAACTACAGCGCTTTACGCCAGGATATTTCATTATGCGCTTTAGCGCTTCAATAAAATTAAATTCCTTTCTTATATTTACATTCTTTTTCTAATGAGATGCAATAAATTAACGCCTTTGAATTGTCATTTTTAAAGCAAAACAGCGTGCACTTTATTTGTGACGCCGAGTGCAGTACTTAATATGACTAACAATGGAGATATTCATGCTCATTCATGAAAAGGCAAAATTTATCCTGTTTGTTATATAGCTAAGTTATAGGTTTACCTAAATCTTCTTTAATAAATGAAATAATTTAGTAAGTATATAAATATATAACAATTGAGGAAACTTTTTCCACTTTATTATACGTATTTTAATTTCGAGTTTATTTTTTCGAATGCTGGTATATATCGGCAAACAAACAAGTTGATTAAAGAATTTAAAAACCTTAAGTCTCCATTGAAGTCATTATTTCACACGTTCTATGGTCGATACAATGACCTTGTTAGCAAATACAGGCCATCAGTAAGTTGAATGCTGACTGACTATTTTCATACTTATTGTAAGGATATTTACACACTGTATTGTCTACGGATATTTCTGTTTGTCTGGTCGTGACAAGGGGTGGAAGGAGAGCTCGATATTTCTGTTTGTCTGGTCGTGACAAGGGGCGGAAGGCCTAGGAGTGCTCGATATTTCTGTTTGTCTGGTCGTGACAAGAGGCGGAAGGAGTGCTCGATTGATCCACATGGGAGCTTAATACCCCTTCATATCGCCTAGTCTCAGTTCTCGTTACTTTTAGGGGTCAGCATTTTCTCTGTTCCCAATTTCTATCTTTTTAATGGTCTCTTTATCTTGATTGTTCTTCGTTTTCTCCATATTTTATTATACGCCTGCTTGAAAAGCGGTAGGATTTATAGTAATCGGTATGTCCGTCCGTCTGTTACCTTTTGGAGTACCCATCTCTTATCTGCAACTCCTCTTTTACCACTGAATGAAATTTGATGAAACTTTCCATATCGCCAGTGTGCACATCCTATTTTACTTTTTAATCTGACACATATTTTGGGTTTCCCATAGCAAAGGATAGACACTGCCAGTATATATTGGAGGCGGGGTTCGGGGGTGGTGGTTATCATTTAGTGAGCTCACTCCTCACATTACCTCTAGTTTTTTAATACTGATTATGAGATTAAGAGAGGCATTTCAAGAAAGTCTGTGTACCTAGTATTTCTACTTCACAAATATCAAGTACATTGTTCTTTTCATCGCCCTCGGTATCTACAGGATTAGATTTGTTCAGATAAATGTACATCTGCTTCTTCCCATGCTGTCCCCCGGGGAAGAGGATGACGTTTTGTGTACTGGGGTGTTTCGTTTGTCCACGATACACGGCAGGTAGACTGGCAAGAGTACTGATGTCAACAGGTTCCTTATTGATGTATACGTAGTAACCATTATGTCGAGCGTCTTAATTAAAAATAAATAGTATCTGATTAATATTCTAATTTCAAGGAACAGCATAAATCAAACATTTATTTTTTTTAAGGTTTACAACCTAATGATTGTAGTTTATCTCTCTAGTAGCTTCATTTGCATGTTTGCATGTGGGTAAAACCTTTTTTATTGTTTACTTTATTTTCTAAATTGAAGCAGATACCTATACCATTTTGTTTGACAAAAAAATCCCAAACGACTTACATTTTTTTCTGAAAATGATGTTGATTTTGTAAATTCTCCACAAAGGTGACAGCGTAATATTCCACCATGCATGTGTAAAAATGCCAACAACATGTGTTCCAGCACAATCACCATTGCTATGGCTAAGGAAC